AACTAACTCGTCCCATATCATTACCTAAACTAACTCGTCCCATATTATTACCTAAACTAACACGTCCCATATTATTACCTAAACTAACTCGTCCCATATTATTACCTAAACTAACACGTCCCATATCATTACCTAAACTAACTCGTCCCATATTATTACCTAAACTAACACGTCCCATATCATTACCTAAACTAACACGTCCCATATTATTACCTAAACTAACACGTCCCATATCATTACCTAAACTAACTCGTCCCATATCATTACCTAAACTAACACGTCCCATATCATTACCTAAACTAACTCGTCCCATATTATTACCTAAACAACCGTCATATCATTATCATTACCTAAACTAACTCGTCCCATATTATTACCTAAACTAACTCGTCCCATATCATTACCTAAACTAACTCGTCCCATATCATTACCTAAACTAACTCGTCCCATATTATTACCTAAACTAACTCGTCCCATATTATTACCTAAACTAACACGTCCCATATCATTACCTAAACTAACTCGTCCCATATTATTACCTAAACTAACTCGTCCCATATTATTACCTAAACTAACTCGTCCCATATTTGCCTTACCTAAACTAACTCGTCCCATATCATTACCTAAACTAACTCGTCCCATATTATTACCTAACTAACTAACTCTGTCCCATATTATTACCTAAACTAACACGTCCCATATTATTACTAAACTAACTTCGTCCCATATCATTACCTAAACTAACTCGTCCCATATTATTACTCTAAACTAACTCGTCCCATATTAACTAAACTAACTCCCATATATCATTACCTAAACTAACTCGTCCCATATCATTACCTAAACTAACTCGTCCCATATCATTACCTAAACTAACTCCTAAACTCCCCATATCATTACCTAAACTAACTCGTCCCATATTATTACCTAAACTAACTCGTCCCATATCATTACCTAAAACTAACTCGTCCCATATTATTACCTAAACTAACTCTCGTCCCATATCATTAACCTAAACCAAACTAACAACTCGTCCCATATTATTACCTAAACTAACTCGTCCCATATTATTACCTAAACTAACCATATCGTCCTATATCGTCCCATTACCTAAACTAACTTCGTCCCATATTATTACCTAAACTAACTCGTCCCATATCATTACCTAAAACTAACCTAAACTAACTCGTCCCATATTATTACCTAAACTAACTCCTGTCCCATATATTACCTAAACTAACACCATATTATTACCTAAACTAACTTCGTCCCATATTATTACCTAAACTAACTCGTCCCATATTATTACCTAAACTAACTCGTCCCATATTATTACCTAAACTAACTCTTCCCATATCATTACCTAAACTAACTCGTCCCATATCATTACCTAAACTAACTCGTCCCATATCATTACCTAAACTAACTCGTCCCATATTATTACCTAAACTAACTCGTCCCATATTATTACCTAAACTAACTCGTCCCATATCATTACCTAAACTAACTCGTCCCATATCATTACCTAAACTAACTCGTCCCATATCATTACCTAAACTAACTTGTCCCATATCATTACCTAAACTAACTCGTCCCATATCATTACCTAAACTAACTCGTCCCATATCATTACCTAAACTAACTTGTCCCATATCATTACCTAAACTAACTCGACCCATATCATTACCTAAACTAACTCGTCCCATATCATTACCTAAACTAACTCGTCCCATATTATTACCTAAACTAACTCGACCCATATCATTACCTAAACTAACTTGTCCCATATCATTACCTAAACTAACTCGACCCATATCATTACCTAAACTAACTCGACCCATATCATTACCTAAACTAACTCGTCCCATATCATTACCTAAACTAACTCGACCCATATCATTACCTAAACTGCTACCTCCCAATGTCGTATGCCACATCGACGAAAAGAATAATATTTCAAAATATACACTTTCTACTGATTCATTTGGTAACATTACCCTGACAACACTTCAGGAAACGTTATGACATTAAAAAAATCATGTGTTAGAATACACGTATCTGTGACTGTTATTGATGAGAACACATTGCTATGGAAAATGGCATTTTACCAATAAGGCAAAGTGATGTTTTTATAAAAATTAAAATCATTCATTATCTTTTGTCTTGCCCTCTCTCTATCATTGAAAGCAGTACTCCAAACAAAACAAAAAGCTGCTCTGGAAAGATTTCATTGCTATACTTTCCCCCTAGAAGTTTCAACACAAACTGGAACGAGTATACGCTGAGGGAAACTGCGTGGTATAATAGATTAAATCAAAAGAAATTGGTTATACGAATAATTCTATAGAAGAGTCTGTAGGGTGTATGTCACCCTCAGAAGTTATTGAGAATTGTGGTGTGAACGGCAATGTCCTTATCTACCAAGATAAAGCTGATAATAAATGATTATATAAGCGCATGTGTTATTCCAGAATCGAGTTCAGCTCTCCCTCAACCAGTGTCTGATGTATTCCGTGGACACGATGAGACCATCAAGCAGTACACAGAGAAGTGGTAGTTCCAGTGTAAGGATGTTAGCCAGAAGTCTGACTACAGATAGTAGTCTCTACAACAATGCTTGTGTGGGTTCATCCGGACGGTCTCTCTTGGATGTTTTATGTGATGTATGATGTATTCCGTGGACACGATGAGACCATCAAGCTGTACACAGAGAAGTGGTGGCTCCAGTGTAAGCATGTTAGCCAGAAGTCTGACTACAGATAGTAGTCTCTACAACACTGCTTGTGTGGGTTCATCATATATATATTTCCTAGTCACACGAGACATGGAAATACATAATTAGTGTTTCTGTCCTTCACAGGGGCCTGACGGGCATTCACTGAACACGCCCATCTTGCCCGGAAGCTGAAGGTTCCTTATCACACTGACCAGGTGTCCGACTTGATACGATCACAAGATCCCAATATGATAACAAAGCAAGCCGTTGAGAATACGTTGTGCTTCATCGAAGTATATCTAATATTGAAGGAAAACACACTGTTTTCAGATGATTCCTACACTTGTATTGGAATGGCACGATCAGTATGAAATGTAGCAGAAGACATGCACTTATCTCACTTATCTTTTGAATACAACTGAACGAATACTGCCTTCAAAACTCCTTGCATGGCCTCAGAATACATCATTTTGGTAGAGCCTCACAAGCCGGTCTGTTGTCGGTGCTGTACCGTACCTATATGTGGTGCTGTAAAGGTCGTGCCTGTTACAGTTCTGTGATGGAGGTGTGTTGTCGGTGCTGTACCGTACCTATATATGGTGCTGTAAAGGTCGTGTCTGTGACAGTTCTGTGATGGAGGTGTGTTGTCGGTGCTGTACTGTACCTATATGTGGTGCTGTAAAGGTCGTGTCTGTGACAGTTCTGTGATGGAGGTGTGTTGTCGGTGCTGTACCTATATGTGGTGCTGTAAAGGTCGTGTCTGTGACAGTTCTGTGATGGAGGTGTGTTGTCGGTGCTGTACCTATATATGTGGTGCTGTAAAGGTCGTGTCTGTGACAGTTCTGTGATGGAGGTGTGTTGTCGGTGCTGTACCTATATGTGGTGCTGTAAAGGTCGTGTCTGTGACAGTTCTGTGATGGAGGTGTGTTGTCGGTGCTGTACCTATATGTGGTGCTGTAAAGGTCGTGTCTTTGACAGTTCTGTGATGGAGGTGTGTTGGCGGTGCTGTACCTATATGTGATGCTGTAAAGGTCGTGTGTGTGACAGTTATGTTCTGTCTGTTTGTGACTGGGATTAGTATTAATATGACTTTGTCGAAGAAGAAATTATGAATTAATTAGAAGCATGGGTACTTGAGTGGGGAAAAATAAGTAGTCGAAAGTAAACAAACAAACGGAAAACTTCTATTCATAACTGTCGTGTGATGTTGTTTGTATGTACTGTCAAAGGGAACAATCGTCGACCACCCATTTGTGGATGTACTGTGACTGAACTGTTGTTATTGTTGTTTCTATTAGTGAGTGAGTAATGTATGCATGTTTTATTGTGTACAGATGCTTGCGCTTTACATCACTGTATATGAATGTATTTGAAGGTATTCATTTTTTTATATGAGGATTTGCGTTTTACACTTTTGCTACATGTTGGTTTATATTTCCATAGCAGAATGTTCGTGTTTCGTAATTTTAATTGTGAAAAATATTTTACATTTCTGCAAGCAGGGCATCGATTATATTTGTTTCTGTACTAGACGTGTGTATACTGTAATGTTGATCAATGTTGTTCCAATCTACTGTATATGATTCATATCCTTTCACATTTCTGTTCAAATGTCTGCACTCGAATAACAGTGCTTCACAGTTGTTGTTTAACAAATGATGTGTAACATTTCAGTACATAAATAATAGATCACATGTTTGTATGAGTTAAAGTCTTGCTCATTTCTGTAAATGCATTGATGCTCGTTTGTGAGTGAATATGCAAGGCCGATGTTTGATTTATGTATATCTCCTCATACCGTTAACATGGTTGCGCCTGCAAGTACATCTATTAAGTTAAATTAAATAATGCACATTTTTAATACGATTTCAGAAATTTGATTAAACGTTCAGATTGGGTAATTTTGCAGCATGCTGATGAGTCACCGGACGTGTGATGGTGGAAAATCTATGGGATATATTGATATTATCACACATGTGTCGGTCACAGTCGCTGGGCGCAGTTATCTCCCTTCAACCATAAGAAACTATTTGTTGAAAAACAGTTATATAGGTTAACTACAACGTTAATCGGCAGAGGTCGGTTGTCCCCCTACGTTGTGCCTCTAGTGACTTGCATACAGCAGCTTTGTCACGGGATGCGTTATAGATGCAGTGTCTGATGATGGCACACGTTCTGCTGGTTTGCAGCTGAAGCCAAAGGAGAGGGACAGGGGAATATATGCACGGGAAGGGGAAGGGGATATACGCGGGGAGGGGGGAAGGGGTAGTCTAGCTGGTCTTACCTGGTGGCGCAACTCGGCACAGTCCAACAGGTAGTTGGCCAGGTCACGAAAGTAGAACCAGATGAGAGCGGCGGTCAGCATGGTGGTCGGTTTTGTGTCCAGGGATTGACCACTCCTCTTCTACAGGGGTAGTATCGGTGGCTGTCTGGACCAGTACTGAGTGGGAGGTGAAAGGATCACCGCCGTACAGACATTTCTCCTCTCATTAGATACTCTGTCTCCGTAAAACAACTCGAAACGAAATATGGGTCAGGTCGAAACACAGTATCTGTCCTCTTCAAAGGATTGTTGTAAACACTTTCCGAGGTGAGAAGAATGTCTGTACTTGTCAAGTGGCGAGTCCAGGACACGGTTTGGACAGTTCGAAATTACAATGACCATGCACTCAGAGAAGACTGTATCCCCACAAGGTCACTGAGTTGAACACATGCCTAGGCGGCCATGATACATGCATGACTAGATGTCGTTCCGGCTCGCCGGATAGGCTTACTACGTGGAATAATCAGTATCCTAGGGTTACCACTGCAATGTTGCGTCCAGGTCTGTCTGGGAGGGGTCAGTTGTGTCCAGGGTAGGTCCGGTCTCTACACACACACCGCCAGTCTGTCACCATGGCAGACAAAGCGCTACACCTGCTGGTGATGGTGATGATCAATAACCGTGTACATAGAGATAGACCAGAGTGGGTGGAAACTCTTACTCAGCAATTAGCGGTTGAGGATCCAACTAAGATAATATATTATTGCCCTGGGATTAACGTTAAGTGAATTATGCAGTCATTGTTTACACACTGGGAAATGATATACAGATTACCTCTCAGGCAAAAAGATATGGAGGAAAATTGCATGTTTCTATAATCATGTATAATCAATAGGAAACAAGTACCGGGAAATTATATGACGTGATATGACGTGTGGCAGGTATGACAAGGGCGGTACCCTCCACGTGGGTGTTCTGGCAAGATCCTGGTTAATGCACAAAGCTGTCTAATCTAAAGCCTGGTGTTACACAGACGGGTATAAAACGACATAAATTAAGCCACGTTTGAGCGCGTCGATCCGGATGAGGCTTAAACTTCGCTTAGTGAAGTTAAACACTTATTGCCAGACCAGCAGTTGGGGGAATGTAGCCTGATACGTATCTGTTTCCACACGTGAAGCCATCAACATGTGTGACCTAACCTCGACATAGTGGAGACATGATTGATGTCTCGGTAACAGACTGCGCCGCCGATGTCCATGGAGCACAATGTGCCGCGTTCAGCAGATGCTATTGAATGCCACTTTGTTAACAGCTATTTTACATCTATACTCATTATACAACTATGTACATTGTGGTAAGTCCTGCATGTCGATAGGAGATCAATTAGTAGCAGCCACAGCGGCTTGTTGGGGATGGGTCCCACTTGACTTTCTTTGAAAGGTTGTAACGGTTATAGGAAGTTACCATTGATCATTTCTCTGATATCTCACAGTATCACTGTATCTTATATCTCATAACGAAGCACATGTGATACATGAGGTCTCACCCTAGGCAAGTGAGTTTGTTAAAAACTGCCTCTGTTCACCCAGCAGAAAATGAGTACCCGGTTGGATAAAGTCATGTGACTATAACGTTCTAGCGCATAACAGGCAGCTTGGGTTATCCGGGGTAATAATAATCACATTTTGATTAAGCGCGGCGAGCAATCACTTGGTGTTTGGAGATTGTGCGCTATGGAAGATAACTTATTATTTTTATTATATACGTCCAAAACTCGCCGGGGCGGTTTTGTAGCCTGGTGGTTAAAGTATTTGTTCGTCACGCCGAAGGCCCGGGTTCGATTCCCCACATTAGTACAATGAATTTTTCTTTGTCCGTGATAATGTTGGAATATTGCTAGTAGCGCCGTAAAACCATACTCAGTCAGTCAGTGAAACCTCGCCACTCACACATGTACATTAGAGAAGTACATGTAGTAGAAGCACGGCACAGCGTTGGTTCATCGCAGGTTCAGGATTCGTGCATACACCTTAACACTCAAGTAGGAACCCAGTCTCAATACACGACTACCCCACGCATCAGGTCATTGCTACCGTCACCATCTAACCAGGGAAGGAGTGTGGGCTCAGACTGGTTTTACCACTGTAGGACATAACGTGCAGACGCTCTGCTTCAACATCAACCATGTCAGCACTACAGCAGCCAGTAGAGCAGGATGTGCCCACCATGTGAATACCACCACTGTCACACATCCCATTACATCTCTGTGATCTCTGTTGGGGGTTGAATAACAATAACTTGTTTGTCTCAAACTCACATAAATGTGGACATCATAGAAAAGCTATGATAGTAGATATTTGTGGTTTCTCAATGAACAGCCTTGCTGACATAAAATGGCGGACGTTCTGCATGTTACCTTCCACCAGATATGTACTCCATGGTGGAATGGCTGGCTGTTTGTCCGATATTTACAAACAAAGAGAATGTCCTTGATTTGCATTACTGAGTAAACACAAAAAATGGCTCACACTGTACCAGAAATAGTTCAAGTTTAGCCATGTATGTCTGACTGAGGTTGGTTTTACGCCGCTTTTAGCAATATTCCAGCAACATCACGGCGGGGGACACCAGAAATGGGCTTCACACATTGTACCTATGTGGGGATTTGAACCCGGGTCTTCGGTGTGGTGAGCCAACGCTTTAACCACTAGGCTACCCCACCGCCCCAGCCATGTATGTATGTATGTATGTATGTATGTATGTATGTATGTATGTATGTATGTATGTATGTATGTATGTATGTATGTATGTATGTGTGTGTGTGTGTGTGTGTGTGTGTGTGTGTGTGTGTGTGTGTGTGTGTGTGTGTGTGTGTGAGTGTGAGAGTGAGAGAGAGAGAGAGAGAGAGAGAGAGAGAGAGAGAGAGAGAGAGAGAGAGAGAGAGAGAGAGAGAGAGATTTCTGAACCATTACTTGGCTATGATTTGCCCACTTGATTAGTCCACTGGAGGGAAGAACTAAGTTTTCCCTTGGTTCTACATGACAAAAACTAGCCTACCTTGAAAACTAAGATCTAATTACAGGTCAAGTAATCGTAAATTGACATGGTCATACTTGGAGTCTGCATGAAGATACTAAAGTATGTATAGGCCCCGTGAACTAACAATATTCGCCGCAAAGCATGATATCGGTACCGGTGCTCGGTGTACACACAACACCTCCGTATTGAATACAAACACATCATCATTATATAGCCTCCATATACACCACATATGTCAGAAAGAAAATCGGGTAAATTTCAGATACAATTTGTTCCAAGGTTGACGAAACCAGTACGATTTCAAGTTCATATGTTTAATAAGTAAAGACGATGATTTTATCTCTTGATTAGAAATTGAAATTATACTACAAGACAAAATATTATGGATGTCAACTTCTGTATTCTATACACAACTTTTCTGGGCGTTTCGTTGCCCCTTCGTCAGGTGAAATAATACTATCTTGTTCTATTTCAAAACGCTTGAGTGCGTTTAAAGCATATTTTCACAACACAGGCTGAAAATTTGCGATGTATCCATAAAAAAGGATGGTATACTCGCCTGAAGGAAGGCGGTGTCAGGGGAGCTGTGGGCTACCTGTCAAACACCTGGTCAACAAGGACGCCGACCTGTATACAAGTGGTACCACGCGACATGGGATGTCCTGGGCAGGGCACTCTCGGCTGTCAGCTGCAGTGGGTTTGTTGGTGGAGGTGCAACAACGCTTTGTTAAGTCAATATTTCAGCAACATTACTTTCAGAAACACTAATGATTCAGTGGGTTTGTTGGTGGAGGTGCAACAACGTTTTGTTTAGTCAATATTTCAGCAACATTACTTTCAGAAACACTAATGATTCAGTGGGTTTGTTGGTGGAGGTGCAACAACGCTTTGTTTAGTCAATATTTCAGCAACATTACTCCTACAAACACTAATGATTCAGTGGGTTTGTTGGTGGAGGTGCAACAACGCTTTGTTTAGTCAATATTTCAGCAACATTACTCCTACAAACAATAAGGATTCAGTGGGTTTGTTGGTGGAGGTGCAACAAAGGTTTTTTAGACAGTATTTCAGCAACATTACCTTTACAAACAATAAGGATTCAGTGGGTTTGTTGGTGGAGGTGCAACAACGCTTTGTTTAGTCAATATTTCAGCAACATTACTCCTACAAACAATAAGGATTCAGTGGGTTTGTTGGTGGAGGTGCAACAAAGGGTTTTAGTCAGTAGTTCAGCAACATTACCCTACAAACAATAAGGATTCAGTGGGTTTGTTGGTTGAGGTGCAACAACGCCTTGTTTAGTCAATATTTCAGCAACATTACTCCTACAAACAATAAGGATTCAGTGGGTTTGTTGGTGGAGGTGCAACAACGCCTTGTTTAGTCAATATTTCGGCAACATTACTCCTACAAACAATAAGGGTTCGGTGGGTTTGTTGATGGAGGTGCAACAACCTTTTGTTTAGTCAGTATTTCAGCAACATTACCTTAACAAACAATAAGGATTCAGTGGGTTTGTTGGTGGAGGTGCAACAACGCTTTGTTTAGTCAATATTTCAGCAACATTACTCCTACAAACAATAAGGATTCAGTGGGTTTGTTGGTGGAGGTGCAACAAAGGGTTTTTAGTCAGTAGTTCAGCAACATTACTCCTACAAACACTAAGGGTTCAATGGGTTTGTTGGTTGGAGGTGCAACAACGCCTTGTTTAGTCAATATTTCAGCAAAATTACTCCTACAAACAATAAGGATTCAGTGGGTTTGTTGGTGGAGGTGCAACAACGTTTTATTTAGTCAATATTTCAGCAACATTACCTTTACAAACAATAAGGATTCAGTGGGTTTGTTGGTGGAGGTGCAACTACGTTTTCCTTAGTCAATATTTCAGCAACATTACTCCTACAAACAATAAGGATTCAGTGGGTTTGTTGGTTGAGGTGCAACAACGCCTTGTTTAGTCAATATTTCAGCATCATTACTCCTACAAACAATAAGGATTCAGTGGGTTTGTTGGTGGAGTGCAACAACGTTTTGTTTAGTCAATATTTCGGCAACATTACTCCTACAAACAATAATGATTCAGTGGGTTTGTTGGTGGAGTGCAACAACGTTTTGTTTAGTCAATATTTCGGCAACATTAATCCTACAAACAATAAGGGTTCAGTGGGTTTGTTGGTGGAGGTGCAACAACGTTTTGCATAGTCAATATTTCGGCAACATTAATCCTACAAACAATAAGGATTCAGTGGGTTTGTTGGTGGAGGTGCAACAGCGTTTTGCTTAGTCAGTATTTCAGAAACATTACTCCTACAAACACTAAGGATTCAGTGGGTTTGTTGGTGGAGGTGCAACAACGCCTTGTTTAGTCAATATTTCAGCAACATTACTCCTACAAACAATAAGGATTCAGTGGGTTTGTTGGTGGAGTGCAACAACGTTTTGTTTAGTCAATATTTCAGCAACATTACTCCTACAAACAATAAGGATTCAGTGGGTTTGTTGGTGGAGGTGCAACAACGTTTTGCTTAGTCAGTATTTCAGCAACATTACTCCTACAAACAATAAAGGATTCAGTGGGTTTGTTGGTGGAGGTGTAACAACGCCTTGTTTAGTCAATATTTCAGCAAAATTACTCCTACAA